ACACACCCTGAGGTCCCCTCCAGTGCTGGCCTTCTGTAATCCTTTTCATTCTGTTCCATCTTTTTTGAAACTCACTGGTGTAACCCACGCCAGTTTTTAGTGTGCATCTGCCATGTGGAAAGAGGCAAAACTCTGCAAACACCTGTTGCTAAAAACCAGTCACCTAATATTGGGACATTTATGACAATAGCTATCATTCATCGGCCCCTGGCCATGGTATATGAACTTGCCACTGAATGCTCACAAATATCCTCAAGCAATCACAGGTGAGGAGAGGGGGCACAGACAGGACCCTCCTAAAACTTGAAGCCAGTTCTGGTTGACTTCAACATCGGATTTTGCCCAACATGCAAACTTTATTTTTAGAGCTACTATAACAAAGTAACACAAAACGGGTACTTAAAGCAACAGAAATGTAGTCTTTCACAGGTTTGCAGCAGGTCAGAAATCCAGGCCCACAAGGCTGGTGGAGGAGCTTTCCTTGCCTGTGGCAACTCCTGGTGCTGTAGGCTTGTGGCTAGATCACTCCAGTCTCTGTCTTCACATGGCTGCTTTTATATATTTATCTCTCTGTGTCCTCTTCCTTTCTGATAAGGATAGCAGTCACTGCATTTAGGGTTCTCCTTGAAGCCAGCATCAAGGTTTTTAATTGAGTACATTTGCAAAGATACTACTCCAAATAGTCACATTCTGAATTTATGGGCCAACATATATTTTGGAAGGACACTAATCTACTGTACAAACCAGCAACATAATACACCTGTGCAAAGGATCAAAACAAATTCAGTCATGGATTCATGGTAGCATTTGTGGTTATAAATGCAAATACTTGCATATTATCAGATAATCATCCTCAAAGTGATAGAGATGCTAAATCTCAGGGTGGGAGGCCTCACCCCAAACTTAGGGAGTCACAATTTGGGGTGGGCACAGCAATCTGTGTTATAACAAACTCTCCCTGTGAATTCACTGCAGGTAACACTTGAGAAGCACTGGTATGAGGCAGCTGAAGACAGAAGAGTTTGATCACATGCCGAAAGGGCCAGATGAAGAGCAAATCCTTAGCCTACTAGTGGCCTAACCTTACAATGACTTGTTCCAGTCAAGGTTAAAGTTCAATGAAGCTGTCATAATCAATTAATTTATGGATTTCAACACTTAACTATTACATAGTTATGGAGTCTTTCACCATGACTTTAATTTGGGTTTCAGAGTCAACTCATATACCCAGCTTAAGAACTTTTGGCCTCTTTTTTTTTCTTGCCAACAATCACGCATTTGGGGTAATAAATCCTGTCTTTGCTGAGTATGCTGAGACTCAGCAGTGGTAAACTCCAAGATAAACAACAAAGCAGAAACACAGACAGGACTAGATATTTTTTTGTAAGTCTGGTAACTAAAATGTTTACCTGTTTTTTTTTTCCCCCTTTTAGAAATGACTTGATAGCTCATGCGAAAGCCCGCTTACAAAAGCAGGACCTTGGGGTCAAGTATTCTCACTTGCTGCCTAACAAATACGCCATCCTTATACCACTGCTGGCTAAAGACGGGATACTGCATCTGTTGTTCACCCTGCGGTCAGAGAAGGTAGGTGACTGAAGTCCTGCCGTTGAAACCTCAAGACTTTTGAAAACCCCACAGCATTTTGTTACTGTCACACATTTTGAGCCCACAGGTTCTGAAATGGATTTTAAACATTGTGATGGGCAAAGAGGATACAAGAAGCCACAGGATAAGGTGGCATTTTGGGGAGAAGTTTTGAAAAGGGAAATGAATGACTTAGCCAGCCAGTCATTTAAGGCACTTATAGGTTTCTCATCTTGGGGTTATTGGCATTTGGGCTGGAGAACTCTTGGCTGTGGGGCGGCCCTGTGCATCATGAGATGTGGAGAATCGTCTGTGGCCTTCTCTACCCTCTTGACGCCACGAGCACAGGCAAGCACATGCACAGATGCCTCCAGAACCCGCGGCTGCCCTCAGCTTTCCAGTTTTCAGGAGCCCACTGCATAGTCATTCCTCTGCCCACTCCTGCGTTTCTCTTCCATTCTCCTCCCGTTCCACCCTCTCTTGCCTTCCTTCTCCTCCTCTTCCTATCTCCACTTCCCATCTCCTCATATCTTCTCCTTAGCTCTCTTTTCTCTCCTCCTCTTACTGCACCCCCTTTTTTCTTCTTTCTAAGCTGCATCTCTTCTCTCTCCCCTCATCTCTTTCTGTTCCCAACTCTCTAGGGTTTGAAATAGAAAAGAGGAATTTCAAGAGCAAAACGTAGATTGAAGTCTTAGGAAATTAAGCTGCAACCATATCTGACTTCGGATTAGAAAGCCACAGGTTTTATTTAATACAAGTTTTATGCTATTTACAAAAATAAAGAAAGGACAAGTATCCTTTTCAGTGCTAACAGTTGTAAATAATTCTTTTTATACTCGTGTCCATTTCCTTCAGAAAGCATAAAATTTTCTTAAGAGTGGATATTTTCACTGATCAAAAATGGTCTTTAGTGCCTATGAACTGGAATAGGTGTATAAGGCAACTTGAATTTGATATGCTCTGGAGTCCTTTTTTTCCCCACCGACCACCATGCCCTATGTCCTCACTGAAACCTTTTCCCCCTCCTCCCTCCGAACCTCAGAAACCTCACTTCATTTATTAACAACCACTAGTTTCATACTTTACCACGTTGCCTGCTATGTGAATGACACTCTCTGCCTTTGGCATTCTGGCTTGCTTTACTACACACACTCCCACCCATTCCTTCCACTTTGTGGCAACATCTCCATGAAATGAAGAATAATTCATGGTGTGAAAAGGCCACATCCTCTTGATCCAGTCTTCCATCCACGGGCTATATGGAACCTTTTGGAAAAGACCTTTTGAAGTACATTGAAAATAGCCATTAAATGAGCTATGACCACCCTCTGTAGGCACCTTTAGCCAGTCACGTCTAGATGCTGAATGCAACAGATAGGCTGCTTCGCAGAGGCGATGTGACACCTGGCCTATTTCCTACACATTTGGATGGGAACATTCAATACTGTAGGGACATGTCCATCCACTTTATGCCCATCTGTTCTCAGAACTACAAATCAGTATAGGATGTGCCAGGTTTCCATATTACAGCAATTCCTATCAAGTGGCTGGTCAGAGGAGAGGAACTTTATACATTTTCTTTTAAGATTATTTATTTGTGCAGAGAACTGAGGTGTAGGGCAGAGGTGGGGGTGGTGGTAAGCGGATTCACCAGAGACAGAGTGGGGAGCAGAACAAGTGGATCTACTGAAATATACTGCTAAGGGCAGCAGTAGGCAAGACAGAAGAGGTCTGCAGAGCCATGTGTGGGTCAGCTCCCTGGCTGGGGATCGAACTCAGGCTGCAGCAGTGAAAGCATGACAGAGCTGAGACTTAACCCCCTGTGCCACCAAGGAGGCACTTTATAGTACTTTATTTTGGAATAAGTTTCAGGGACTTTAAACCATATAACACTACAAAATTCCTAATTATACTCAGTTTATCCTTACACAGCTGTATTGGCCCCACTGCCAAAGTGCAGTGTGAGCTCTTGATGGAGCTTCTATACAGCAAGGACTGCCTCTTAACAGCTTCTCATTGTTAACCAATTAGCAGACCAGCCGTGGTCAGGGACTTAGGCTATCGGCTTGTGGGGCCGATTCTACCACCAAGGTTATAGGTACTGATATTACCCCCACAGTGCATGACTGAGAAGAGGAGACCCAGTTCTTCCACCAAGCCTGGATCTCTTGCAAGTTTTATAGAGAGAGGATGGGTGCGAGTGAATGTGAGAGAAACTCACATGTGAGATTATATCTGCAAAGAAGTCTGGTCTTACAGAGGAGAGATTTGGTGGATTTATACTTCCCCAACCCTGCCCAAGATAGGAGAGAAATCATTTTAAGGACAGAAAAGAAAGGAATAAATATTTAGGATGCTTCCTATGGAGACACAACCAGTTCTCCTGAAGTCAGGAAGGCATGAGGTCAAGGTCACAGGTAGAAGGTAGCCATGCAAGAAGAGATTCCTATTCTTTTACATGCTTATACAAAGAGATAGGAGGCACCAACACAGTCAGTGTTCATAGCTCCGGTGACCATATTTCTTATTTTAGTGAACTCTTAATAGTTGTGTGATATGTTGATGAGGCATACAAGCTGCAGAATGAAATGAAAGTTTACTGACACAGATATAACATGGAAGAATCTTGAAAGTATACTCAGTGAAAGAATTCAGCCACAAGAGGTCACATAGAATGTGATTCCATTTAGATGAAATATTCAGGATCAATTAATACATAAAGATAGAAAGTGGGTACAAGGAAGAGAGGAATTGGGGATCAGCTGCTTACCAGGAACAGAGTTTCCTTTTGTGGTGATGAGTATACCCTGGAACTAGATCTGATGGTGGTTGTACATTCATAGTATACTAAATTTCACTGAATTGTTCACTTTAGAATACATCTGACAAGCTGTGAACCTGTACTTCTAAATCATATACAGAGTTGTAAGCCAATGTTACCTCAATTTAAAAAAAAAAAAAAAAAGGTTGGTTTTATGTTTTGTGACTTTTGCCTTGATAAAAGAAAACTTTCTGAAATGTCGTAGTTGATAGAACTCTGTGCCCAGGTTATGGCAAGCCCTCCCTAAATGCTCTCTGATGGTAGCAGTGCCCTTTTCATTTTACTTCAAGTCTCTCACCATCAAGACCTAGCTGCATGTATATGGTGGCTTTGGGGGGCCAGTAAAGAAAAATTAGAAATGATAGAAGTCCTTGGCATTTACCTTTTTAAAGGTTTAAAAACTCTTTGGGGGGGGGGGTGTGAGGTCTTGTTTCTCACTCCTTATCCACTAGCACAAAATGGGTGATTTAGGTACTGGTTGAGTGAGTGAAGGGATCCAAAATTGGAGTCATCCACTGCAGCTCTGTTCTTTCCATGTCCAGCTAAGAAGGTCACCCGGAGAAGTTTGCTTCCCTGGAGGCAAGCACGAACCTACAGACGTGGATGATGTCGCCACGGCTCTCCGGGAAGCCCAGGAAGAGGTGGGGCTGTGTCCCCAGCAAGTGGAGGTCGCCTGCCACCTGGTGCCATATGTGATTGATGTAAGGGTTGGAACGGAATTGGTGTCTTAGACTTCTGGGCCCTTGCAGTGGATCTGGCATCTTTAGGGTTCCACATTTGGCCAAACAAGGGTCTTGAGAGTACTGGGCACAGCGCGAAGACGCTGGGTTCTAGAGGGTCTTTGTCCCTTACAAACTAAGTGGCCTTGGGGAAGCCCCTTTTCCTGTCTGGGACCCTCTTTCTCCATCTGGAAATTAAAGCATCAGACTCCTCCGTGGTTTTCAGCCTGGGCACTATGGAAGGCTATCGATGTTTCAGAATCATTTTAACAGTCCACCTTTGTTTTTCTCCTGTATGCATCTACCTTAAGAATTAGTGGACCCCCCCCCAAAAAAAAAAAAACAATACTTGAGCATGCTACCTGTAAGTTTCGTTCCCGATGGGCCCCTTTACCTAAACATACCCATAGTTTATATACATTATGGAATCAAGCTTCTCCATATCCCACTAATTGAACATATCCTGAGGTCTGCTAGACAAGATTTTTAAAACTATTACTATTTGTAACTGCGTTTCTGTGTGAATTAGCATTTTCTTGATAGTGTGTACACACAGGCATGAACGCATGCACACACTCACACTACAAAAAACAAAATGAATTCTAAGACTGGTACAATTTTATGACCTTTGCATTTACTACAACTACCTCTCTGTTATTTTAATTGACTTTAGAAGTAGTAGCTGTTGTAAATTTGAACTTGGACATCAGCATTATTTTTATGGATTTAAATTTTTAAATATAAAATCTACATTTAGAGTAGTTATAGGTGTACAGAAAAGTGGCAGAGACAGTGGAGAGCATTCTCAAATCACCTTACTGCCATTTCCCCCAGTGTTAAAGAAGCTTGCCTCATTGCCTGTTCATCTGTCACACCGAAGAAGCCAATGTCACTGCATTTGTATGAACTAACCGCCTTTTGCCTTTCACTCACATTTTTACTAACGTGCTTCTTTCTGCAACTGGAGCACATCTAGGACACTATGCTTTATCTCATTTTCAGGACTCCCTAGCCTTCTGAGCTAAGACAGTTTCTCAGATCTTCCTTCTCACAACCTTGACCATTCTGAGGTGCACTGGACAGGTATCTTGCAGAGTGCACCTCAATTTGGATTTATCTGATGTTTTTTCATGATTAAGCTAGGGGCTGTGGGCTAGCTGGTGGAAGCATGCTTTATGACCCTAGATTTCCCACCCAGGACAAATCTGCCCCATCAGCCATCCCCATCCCCAGTCCAAATGTCGGCTTTCATCAATACTTCCAGTCATAGTCTGAGGTGCTGCTGTTCGCAGGCATTCTTCAGCTGCCCCTCAGGATTTTCTAAGAGTCTATTTGCCCTCCTGCAGTGCCCAGCCTTTGTACCCCCCTGCTAGTCCCACCCACTTTGTCTTGAGGTGCCCTCTTGAATGCGAGACCTCACTTTCTCATTCAAGGTCTTTAGCTTTTATTAGCTCTTACATTAAACCCCGGACTTCCCTCTCAGGATTCATTATAGTCTGTCACTTAACAGCACCCTTGCCTATGTGCAAGCAGCTAAGTAGACAAAGCCCACCACCACAATGATGGGAACCATAGATGCTATATGAAGTAGTCATGTCATTACATATATAGTGTTCCCATAAATGGGAATAGGCCACCATTAATATTGTGTCGCCTTACTTTTCTTTCATTAAAGTGCTACATCCTTGTCTGTGTTGACAGGACAAGGTATCTATTATGTTTTTGTAAGCACCACATAATACATCAATATATATGTGTATGTGTGTGTGTATATATATATATAAATACACAAACGTATGTGTGTGTGTACCTTAATTACCTTAATGTTCAACTAAGGGTTGGTGACTTTAGCGTGGTGGGCCATTATCTGTCTTACATATCTGTCATTATCAGTCTTAACCTTTCTCAACAGTAGGAACTTAGGGTACAAATACCCACAAATTGCTAGGTAAAAGGAATCCTAGATTTTTTTTTTTTATCTAATATCACCACGCTATAAGACTTCACCAGTTACGCTATAAGACTTCACCAGTTTGTGTCCACAGATCACATTTTCAGAGTCATCTCACACATGGTCTTGCTCAGGAAAGGGAAGGAAATTCCCCAAGTTAGGGGGAACGTAAAATTGACTTCTGCAGCAAGTTACCTTATTTAACTGATTGTTCTGGCCTGTTTTCTAGGCTTACACAGAAGTAGCATTCGGAACAGTAATTTGTGTATCTTGCTTCCTGCTTGTAGAAAGATACAATGATAATCCCAGTTGTCGGATTCTTAGACCACAACTTCCAGGCCCAGCCTAATCCTGATGAAGTGAAGACAGTGTTTCTGGTACCCCTGGAATATTTTCTGCATCCACATGTCTACCACCAGTATCAGCTGACACGGGCTGGTCTTCAATTTCTATTTCATTCCTTCGAGTACACAAACCCTGAAGATGGTGTGACTTATCATATCAAGGGAATAACAGCAAAGTTAGCAGTGCTAGTGGCCTCAATAATTCTGGGGGGAAAACCTGCATTTGAGGTTGACTTTAATCTCAATGATCCAGTATTATCCACTGAAGAGTCTTTCCTGAAGGTTCATAAACATTTTACAAGCAACTTATAATAATAATAACAGTCAAATAATAATCTAACAGGGTTTTGTGTATGGCCATCTATCAAATAACATTCATGCTGACTGCTGGAATTTGACAAGCACAAATATTTTTCAGCAATATCAAGGTAACAACTTTGTTTTTTCTGGTTGTCCTCTATTACCTGAAAGAGCAAGTCTTTCAGAAGTGGAATGTTGTGTTTATAACATCACACAATTTTGCCCACAAAATGTTAATAATATTTTTCATATAAAAAGATATCTGGTTCACAGTTGGCCAGTAATTGACTAGATGACAATGTGATATATTTGTCTTATATGATAATTGATACTGGAGGTAATATCTCTTTCTGCCTATTGTTACATGGGATGGAAACTCCCCACCTGTCATCAAAATCTATTCTCCCAGCCCTCCACAGTGGCGCAGCAGGTTAAAGTGCAGCACTGCAAGCAAGCAGTGTCCGCTGCTCCCCTCAGCAGTGCACTTTGCTGATCTGCCTGTTCTGCTTCCCTTTCTGTCTCTGGTGAATCCTCTCACTGTCCCTGCACCTCTGGCCTGAACCCTAGTTCTGTATGCATAAATAAATAAATCTTTAAAAAAAATCTACTCTCCCTTTCTTCCATAGGGGTAGAGTTGAAGTTGAATCTCCAAGGTAGAATAGCACCCCCCCCACCCCCCAGGACTCCCTGCAGCTAAACAGGGCTCTGGAATATAGTTTGGCCAATGGGGTATGAATGACCTTGTAATGACCTTGACATTGCAGGTCATTTCCAGCTGACTAAGCCAGCTTCCCTGGATTCTCTTTCCTCTTTCCAAGTACTGCAATGTGGGTTTATCTACAGCCCAGCCTTGACCATACAGAGGAGAAACAACTTCTAGGAAAATAGAACTAAAAGATGGTAAGAGCTTGGATCTCCAAATGATGCTGAAGCAAAGCACCCTGCCACTCCTGGCTATTCACTTGGCACTGTTATATAAAAGAACAATAATCTGTCCTTTCATAACCACTGTCATTTGGGGTAACTCTGTTATAGCAGAATTATCCTGGAACTCTTGACAATAGCTGGATAGATACTGACTCACACTTGAGGGGTTGCCTGAAATGAAATTTGAGCTGATCTACATACACTCAGCATATGGACTCTGTGCCATGCACAGGGTGCCCTGGGTGTTGGTGTCCTGGCATTTGGTACCATCACCCAGAGCACTCAAACCGAAAGGATATGAGAGGCCCACCTGGCAGCCAGTCGAACGAGAGAGCACATCAAGATGATGAAAACAGAAAAACGCTGACTTCAAGGACAAGCCCCAAATCAAAAGTCAGAAACATACACGTTCAGGATTAAATGCCTTGCGATCTGCCATTTCTTGCTGGACATCCCTATAAATCATGCTTTTGAGTTGGCAGGGATTTCTTTGTTTTATTGTAGTATTAAACATCCTGTGTGAGTCACAGAAGCTGGTGGGTAAGGCCATGTCATGGTGTGATGGCAATTTCTCATCCTACTTAGTGTTAGGTTTTCAAAAAGCCACACCATTTTGAAGTCTTTGTTTTAACTAAACACGTGGCGCCCACACTAAACCCGTCAACCAGCCTGCCCCTGTCCACTGCTGAGTTTTTAGAGGGTTGGCAGGGGAAAATACATGATCTGCTACTTTAGACCCATAAATATTGAAACAGAACAGAGCTGACTCCAACCCTGAAAGCAGATGTTGGGTAAGTTTGCCCATTAGCATTCTCTAACAAACCCTGCTCCAACAGACCTAAACAGTTTTCGAATAATTACAGAGGCATTTGCAAATGTATACTTACAGTCTGACAGCAGTGTAATTACTGGGTAGACTGCTGACCTCCCTGGCAGTGCAGAAAGCCACCTTCCCTAACTCCATTTACAGGGATGCACACATCTGCTGTTTCTCAGAGGAGGTAGGTCCTGCCCAAGTCCAGTCTGCATGATGCTGTGGCCACCTAGTTTAAGGGGTTGAATACTGAGGCATGAAGCTATTGTCTTCTTTTCTACATTTTAGTGGTGGTATCGTTGAATACTTTTGTGGATGGCTCTAGTTAAACATCCTTTGGTTAAGAACCAAAGTCTAGCAAATTTGACTCAAATAAAAGAAGCCTGACAAGGCACAGATCTTGGGGAATCTACAAAGTCACGCACCTGCCTCAAGATGCACAGGAAGGAGAAGCACTCCTGTAGCCAGGTCTAAACAAGAGGTGGCAAGCCTGCACGTTTGCATCATCTTCCCAGACATAACAATAGCCATCCTTTTGAGCATATGGTTGCAGATGGGAAAGCCACAGCAATGCTGTGTCTTGGTCCCTAGTTCTTTATAGAAAGCGCCATTTGGCCTGCTTGGGACAGCTAGCAGGTTTTGTTCAAAGACAAGAAGGGTGAGTATTGGCCACAAAGGCACACATCTCCCTAAATCCCCTGAGTCAGCAGGTTGGGGCTGGAGTGAGAACATTTCTGAAGATAGTGGGTAAAGTGAATATCCCCAACCATTTACTGTCTCTACTCCCTGAAATCTGTAACTGAGGATTCCACCAAACATCCTTTGTATCCCCCCCCTCCAAATGCTGGAAAGCTGGTGATTAAGGGTCCTAAGTCTGAAGAAAGGATGCCAGCTGTAAATCCCAGCTTTGGCCCATTCAGGTACCTTAAGGACGTTACTTAGGCTCCCAGGCCTCAGTTTCCGTTTCCATAACAGGGCAGGAAATGAACTTTTGTCTTAGAGCTGTTATGGGGCCTCCTTGGTGGTGTGGGGGTTTTGATCCCCAGCTAGAGAGCTGACCCACATAAGAGGCAGCAGACCTCTCTCTTTCCCACTGCTCCCCTTCAGAGTGGATTTCAGTAGATCTGACTGTTCTGCTCCCCCACTCTGTCTCTGGTGAATCCTTCCCCCCACACCTCACGCCCTGTACCTCAGTTCTATAAATGAATGAATAAATAAATGAAATACATACATACTTTTAAAAATAGGGATGAAAGTCAATACCCAGGACCCTTATACTTAAAACACCTACATGCTCAGAACAATGCCTGGGAAATGGAAAGGCTTGATTTTCTGTTAGCTAGTAATTATGTAATATAACTGGGATATTATAATGACAAAGTAAGCCTGGTGGTTTCTCTAGTTCAGAACATCATCATTTTCCTGTACCCACAGGTGGAGGTCTAACTTATAGGTTCTTGAACATACTCCATTCCCAGCGAGCACCCTTGGCATCGCAGTAATGTGTATATTCAAGTCACAAGAAATACCCAATGATTTTCTGTGTTGTGTTGTTATAGCCAAGCACTTCATGAGTGTTTATATTCTGCTAACTTGGCAATCATTTAACATTGTACTATATTTATACGATTTTTATAAGAATAAATAAACACCATCCCTTCCTAAGGGAAGGAGCACCCCCTGGGCACATAGTAAATGTGAGTTTCAAATGTGGCTATGGGGTAGGAATAACTCCAGAGACAATGCGAGGAACTCTTGGGTCAGACTTGGGGCTCGGGGAGGTACCCCAGAGGTGGTGGTGACTGAGCTAAGCCCTGATGAAGAGGGAGGTTCTGCCCCAGGGAAGTGGGATGTGGTGGTGATGCAGGAGAGCGACAGTTACTAAGCACCTGTGGTGCACCAGGTCTTTCACAGTGATGAGTCATTTAACCCTCACTCCAGTTCCCAATAGTGAGCACTACTATTATTTCCATTTTGAGGGAGGAAAAGTTGAGGATCAAAGACGTTAAGTATTTGCCCATGGTCACATAGTTCATAAATGGCAAAGTCAGCAAGCAAATCCCTATGTGTGGATCTCAAAGCCCGAATGTTTTCTACTAAATTCTAGATGAGGCTCATTTCCTAGAGGCAGGAATAGGCAGTCACATCTCTGTGTAAAAGGGAAAGCTGTACAGATGTGACAAACTGTAGAGACAGAAGAGTTTGTTTGTGTTTTCATCACATCCTCCAGATTATTCCACTGGTGTTGCTGTTGCACACAGTGAAATGAGTAATTAGCTAGGAGGATCTTAATGAAATGGAACATATCAATTAATAAATGAAAGTGCTGGCATACTGGCTAATTTAAAAGCACGCTTTGTGGTGCCAGCTTTCCAGTTAAAGAACTGAGTGGGGAAGGTTTCCTTAGACAAGGCGATTAAATACAATCCATCTTTCCTTGTTTCTAGTTTCTGAAAGTATGAGCACAAGGTTTTGATAAAACTGATGGAGTGACTGTCACCTGGCCTGGTTGTTCTAGATATGACCAGGTGGGATCTTACAGGTGTCTCTGTGTATATTCCATTTGGAATTATTACTTTTTCTTTTATAATATATCTATACACACACACATACACATATATAATTTTTGCATCATTCTTCATCTGGTATATTTTTTTCATCTCGGTTGTAATCCCCATGGGCTTCCCATCAGCAATTCACCCAGGTACCATCACC